GACATGGATACCGAAACGGCCGCTTTATGGCCAACTGAGTGCAGGGGAACGGCACGTGGGAAAACCGAAGTTACCTCACCAGGACATGATCAAAGTGAGCCTATCATATTCTAATGTTGACTGGTCATGGGAATCGAAGACGGTTGATCGGCGCGTATGGCGCGATCTAATCACGAAGGTAGTTGCCGAGATGCGGGAGAAAGCCCTCGTGCATGCGGAGTAGAGGCGGCAAGTGCGGAAGTGACAGGCGTCGATGGGCTGTACTCCATCGACGTCGCGCGCATGGTGTTGTAGCACACGGGGTCGCGATTGCCTGAGTCAATCAGGACTAGTTAACCACAAGCGAGGCCACATGGGACTGACATCGAAACGATGATGAGTCCTGCTGAGAACTAAGCAGAACGGGCGCAGCGATGGTAGTTACTCTGCATTCCATTTACTAACGGCGTGCTTGCGAGTTGAGTTCCTTTATTTCAGATGGTTGGTTTGCTACCTTGTCATACTGTTATTTTATTACCTCAGTTTAATGTTGTTGCGGGCACATCAAATATTCCCGCAAAAACACGCCAGAAACCCCGGCAGAATGGCTGTGGAAACCGAGGTCCAATTCCTCCCCACAACGCAGCAGAGCTCAGCCACTCCGAGACGCGCCCCAACTGCGCACCTTTCGACAATGTTCATTTGCAAACTACCACCTCTTCGTGGTGACTGTTTTCCCTAACTTAAGAACCCATAGCACTGGCTGTGATTGCTCTTTGTCGGCCATAAGAGTCTACGGAGGACCACTTGCCTTTTCTTTCTCTTCGCTTCAGTTGGGTGTCGGTCGGGTCACGTGATTGCGTGTGAGTCGTCAGCTGGCCAGCCTTCGCGTCTAAGCCATTAGCGCGCGTCTATCGTACCCCCCCTCTCGTGTGTGTCCGTTTCCCAGGGCTCAGCGTCTATCTAAACAAGTGCGGCTAGGATCGTTCACACGCTCGCTCAATTTTCCGTCTCACCGGCTAAGCTAGCGTCATCAGGTCAGCGCAACTCCGTTCGAGTGGCAAGCGTTACAAGTCGTCATCGTAGGCGTGCTCCAACCGGGCGAGCGACAATCTTGTCACGCAATTATCTCAGAGGCGGCGTTCCCTCAATTATAACAAATGTGTACCTGAGTAATCTATTAAATTGCATATTTCGATTAAATTAAATAAATAAATGTTTTATTCCCGGTAGTGCGAGGCACGCCTGCGAAGGCATGAGCATGATAGTACGAACAGGCATGGTCGGCAATTGTACAAGAATATAGCAAGTTAACCTGTAACGTACTGGATTTGTGTGCATGCATTATATGTAGGTGTCTGTATAAGTGGACACGGTGAGTGAACTTGTGAAGTATAACTGATTTCCTGAGTTTGCTTGCTGTGTTCGCCATCGTGCGAAGAGAGCAACCGAACTCTTCGAAATGGATGACGTTCGCGTAGTGGGGAAGATCCTCCGGAAGGTGAGAGGTAGTGACTTTAGTTAGTGGCGAGTCACATCGGCCACGTTGCAGTGTTGTCAAACGGACCTTAGTGGCTTTTTATAGGGAGAACGCTTGTCAGATGAAAACCCATCACGTCCTGGAACACTGCCGCCGAACTATTCGCTGGAACGGGATTAACCCAAACCACCTAACTGGCACCACGTGGAGGTTCGGTGGTTAACTTCGCTTATCTTTTTCTCCTTCTTACATATGTGTCGTGATCCCTTTTCTGTCATCTTGAATCTATCTCGGCTATTTTGATAATCCATTTATTTCATATGCAAATTTAGCGGCATATCCATAGTGTATTCGATCTATTTTATTACACATTTCATTTCATGTGATTGGCTACTGCTTGACATCCCTGGTGTGGCCGCGCTTGATGTGTATGTTGACAAGGTGGATACCTGTCTATTACCTACTACGTCGTCTATACTGGCTTTAGGAGACAGTGGGTCGTTGTTGGAGGGGACGGGGTGCACGGTCCTTGTGGCCGTGTTACGCTCAAAGAGTGGTTCCATGCACTCAGTGTGGAGTGGAGTACGGTCCAGCCACCGCCTTGTGTGCACTTGATTCCCAAATACAGCGTACTTGTAAAGTTGAATTTAGAGAATCCGCTGGCGGTTGGGTTGCTACAAGCAACCTCTATTGAGACCTCGGTTCACTTGAGGTGGACCTCGGTCATTCCGATCAAAAAGACCGTAAGTGAAATGAAAATTATAGTGTTGCTCATCCCAACACTGACATTCCAAGACCGCGGTTTCGTCCTGTTTGGACTCATCAGTTGGCTATAGCCTGAGTTGGGCTGGAACTCAGAGCCTAGTGGCTCATGGTTGACGCCAAAAGCACTATGCCACTGAGATCCGCGAGCAACGCTTGGTCCAGCGGAACTGAATGCAAAGTTGAATTTGGAGAATCCGCTGGCGGTTTGGTTGCTACAAGCAACCTCTATTGAGACCTCGGTTCACTTGAGGTGGACCTCGGTCATTCCGATCAAAAAGACCGTAAGTAAAATGAAAATTATAGTGTTGCTCATCCCAACACTGGCACTCCAAGACCGCGGTTTCGTCCTGTTGGGACTCATCAGTTGGAGATAGCCTGAGTTGGGCTGGAACTCAGAGCCTAGTGGCTCATGGTTGACGCCAAAAGCACTATGCCACTGAGATCCGCGAGCAACGCTTGGTCCAGCGGAACTGAATGCAAAGTTGAATTTGGAGAATCCGCTGGCGGTTTGGTTGCTACAAGCAACCTCTGATGAGTCCTAACAGGACGAAACCGCGGTCTTGGAGTGCCAGTGTTGGGATGTGCAACACTACAATTTTCGTTTTACTTACAGCGTACTTGTGTTTGTCTGTGAAGGAGTGTGAGCCTGCTCCGTTGATGAAACGTGGCTCCCATCCACATGCCTCCCGGTCTTATTCCTTCGGGTTTACACTGGATATGGGGTGTGTGGATGGAACTGTTGGTGATGCAGCGCAAACCACCCTTGGTCCCTCTGTAGGCGCAGGCGTCCTGTGGCTTGCCACAGTGACAGGCAAATCCGAAACCGGATGCCGCCAACCACACACACACACACACATATATATATATATATATATATAAGCGGTCGTTTTGGACTGGTGGTTGCCATGGACTGGTTCATGCTTAGGTACGTTACTCATAGGAGAAAAGGTTGGAGATGCTTTTGGCTGGTCGCCATAGACAGGTAGTCACCATTGCAGGTGGGACTGTATATATTAGCAAGATGCAAATTTATAGACGTAGAGCCATCCAAAAGTATGGAACTCGACGGCAGATTACAAATAAAAGCATCGCAAGAGTCACGGAACCCTTTTTGTTACTTCTCATGCGACAATTTTTCGTTGCTTGTCTTGTTCAATGATTACGTATTAAACATTTGGATCCAAACATGGATGTGCACAAATCTTTCGCAGTCTTCGACTGCGCGTTATATCTTGAATTATTTCCAGTCATCGGCACTCTTCGTCCTTTGGTCTCCAATCAAGCAAGTGTGTGGATTCAACCGCAGGAAAAGGTGGAGTTTACTATTACCGGTGATGCTGTCAGGTAGATGGCTGATCGCCGCGTGGTCGCTTCCAATCGAGTCTCGTACAAGTGAACAGGGCGCGACGTGCTAAACGCTCAGATGACATACGAAGGATGCGAACGAGCCATCATAGCTGCCGCAGCAAAACAAGCTTGTTGAATGAAATACTCGCAATCCCTAAGACACGATGTATGACTTTACCGCTGCAGATGAGCTGCTGCAAGCACACATGAGAAATCCTCATCAAGCACCCTTTGTCGAAGGTTAAGAGCCGGCGCATGTCCACGCAAATTTGCCACAATGCGCTTTCGTAAAGCAACACGACGCGAACAGTGGCATTATAAACACGACTGTTTACGAAGAGGGAAACATCCCGACAATGTCACAAGTGTTTCGTCTTGATGAACACCGACCTAGGTTTGGCGATATGGAGAGAAACTGCCCAGGTATACAAAGCTACACGCCTGTTTAAGCTGTGTACCTTCAAGAGCGAGCACGGGAACGGGGAGTGCCAATTCTGGAGCAGGACTTTACACTGTGACAGGGCGAGGCACATCCTGTAACTGGGTGCCTCAATCACAAAACGGTTCAGAGTGAGTTACCTTTCAAGTGGTCAGTAAGTAAGGCGATGTCATTGGTAGTACCTAAGTCGGTCGCTCGCTTATCCGGTAGTAGATGCAGACCGAAATGTTGATAACATTCCAGAGCTCTCTACAAGATATCTTCGATCGCCAAATTGAGGAAGAAAGGGACACATGGTAGCTTTGTTGTGCAACGTTATTGACAACAAAGGGAAGAAAAACTTGCCACAGACACCTTTTTTGCCAGAGACATAAAAGTAAGGTGCGCATGATGGTGGTATACTTTTCCGGGACCCCATCACCATAATATAATAATCGTAAAAGTAAAGTAAAATAACAGTGAAGTAGGATGCGGATAAATAAAGATGGCCAACAAACACGGGAAATAGTTCAAGAAGAAGGGATTGTATAAGACACAGCGTTCAGATCAGAAAGTAACTGGCCGAAGAAGGGACTATATTAAAGGGTGCCGTTTGTTATGGAATCTATGTAATTTACCATACTGAAGTATACTGCCATCGGTGTTACCGATCATGATTCTCAACTGTAGGGAAAACTAACGACTAGTAACCAGCGTTATCGCACCAACCGCTCATATAATAGCAGCCACAATATGGTAAGCAAACACCACACCTTGCGAAAGAGTATATCGAACGCATTCTTCCCATTGTGACTCGGCAAAACGCATGTTGAGTCCAGTGATTGCTTTTAATCATTATGACGCTACTAGGTAAGATGTATAGTACTATCTGACACAACGTGAAATATCCAAGCAACACGCCTGAAAACGAATATAGACGGTGTGTAATCAACGCACTTGTTTGCGTAAGTCAGACTTCGTAAGCAGAGACGATTCGGTAAGGGCAGCGGCGCAGTGAATGGATTCATCTGCCACGTTTAATCGGGTAGATTCGTCAGGATGTAAAGGGTCTACTGAATGCGAAGCAGATTCCTGAGCTTTGAATGCTATTCTTCTGAACTCGCTGCAACCGTCATTCATCGATCCCGTGACACGTCGAGACGTCCGATTCTGTGATGATTCCATACAGACGGCCTTATCGAAGGAGCTGTTCAAGCATTGTGCTACATCAAGGCAAGACAACTTAGAAGGTCTGTAATCCACCAGTTGCATCTGAAAGGAAATGTCAACAGATGACTTGCTTGGAGTATAAAACGAATAGACATTACAGAGAATTCATTTTGCGTAATAAGGGCGTAAATATAAGATAGAACAACAGCAAGCAGGCTGAGAACAACGAAGAATTTCACCGCACATATCATAATATAACTGAGACAATCAATTGGCAGCGGTGTAAGCGTTTCGGCAATCAAGTCCCGGTGCCTGAGGCAAACAAAATGCGAATGCCATTGCTTTGAGTAGTAGAAAATGCACAGTTCCCGTGATGTACGTTTTAAAGGCACTAGTTGTTTACGGTGTTATTTCTTCCCCAAATTCTTCTTGACGATTCTTTTGGACTGGTTTTTGATTTTGTGACCATATTCGACTAGAGGTGACTTCCAAACAACTTTACGTGGCTAAATCAGATGACAAACGCAATAAGACAATGTTGCTAGCTTGAAACTGGTTCACTTAAACAAATGAGATATTAGTTTGTAGAAACATGGAACAATCTGCAGTGGATAGCTTAGAACAATTTTCCAATGCCAACATCAACGGCCGACTAATAAGACCCAGTCTGAGAAGAATGACCAACAGGCATCCACCGACGTCAATCATGACCGCAATGTGTTGAAGTGCCTCTGGGTTCAAGTCCCACAAGATTTGGGGAAGATGCGCACTGCCGAGGAGGCCTAGCAATCCATCCGGCTGGCCCGTGGCATAAGGGATCACAAGTCTGCCTTGTCATCTGAGGGTGCGGGTTCGAGCCTGCGTAGGAGCAGGGAGACCCCCGCAGTATCCTTAGCCCACGTGCGAGCGGTGGTGATTGCGCGGTAGCGAAGCGTCGCTACTGCCTACACACGTATTATTTCTACTTTTTTATTCATTGCTTCTTAGGATACGTGATGGCTGTCTGCTGCTACACTCTAACAATTAGTAATCACCCAAGCTGTCTTCAAATGCTCATCAATAGGTAAGGACTTAGCGCGCGAAGTCATAGGGCTGACTTTTTTCCTCTGTACGTTTACACTCTACATGGCAGCGGAGGATGAACGATCCTATACTGCGGCTCGTAATCATACACGGCGGTGTTACCCGTCATTTATGGCCCAGGGGCTTAAGTCACTGACTCTTGGGTTCAAATCCGATAGGAGCCGAGGCGATTACTCGCTGCTGACGAGTTCCAGTTAGACCTAACTGCCGTCTGGTACTCTTTCAGTTGTATGGAACACCCCAAAGTTCAGAAAATGGTTGAACAGATTAATTCATCCCACATCAAGACTTAGGAGTGAACACAATGTTGTCATTGGGTTTTTAACCGTGCTATGTTCGATCAGCATCCAACCATCGATATGGCCGACGCTGTGGTGTATCTATGCAAATCAGTCTTTCTGTTACTTCACCCAACTGGTCTCCGTAGCTAGGTCAATGGCTTGTTGATGGGCCTTCCTAGCCACTGGAGTGAGCTGGCTGATGGAATTTCCGTGTGCTTACTTTGCCACACTCCACTTCCCGTCATGTGAATCTCTCGCCACTGACAGAATTGACAACGATAAGTTCCACGGGATCGCACAAAGTCGGCGAAGGGTTTGACATCGAACAATGACTGATTCGTCCCATGATTTGAGCATTCGTAATAATGCTGTTCCTTCTCTTAGGCACACCATCGGTATGTATGCGGCTGATGTTGCATTCGTGATGCATCCTCACCACAGTTGGGCTAAGCCAAGTTACACTTAAACCAGGTCTTTTTAAGCTGGATAAATTTCATTCCATTTTATTTGGTTTGTTCTACCTACCTGAATAATCTTCTATTAACTGGCCACGTTGCTTATGCTAGTTGTGGTTAGCTTGGACTTATTTATGTTTGTAGCATTTCTGACTAACTTCTGGACATTTTGTACTAATGGCAGATTCGTTGCTAACCAAGTTACTTCATATACTAACTTAGAGGAGAGTTATGTCTGCATAGCCGTATTTTTTAACCGATATACTTTATTTGATAATGTCATTTCAAGTGATTGGCTGTTGTTTGACATCCCCGGTGTGGCTGTGCTTGATGCGCATGTTGACAAGGTGTCTACCTGTCAATTACCTACTACCTCGTCCATACTGGCTCCAGGAGACAATTGGTCGTTGCTGGAGGGGACGGAGTGCACAGTCCTTGTGGTCGTGCTTGGCTCGAAGATTGGTTCCATGCACTCAGTGTGGAGCAGCCTACGGTCCAACCACCGTCTTGTGTGCGCTTGATTCCAAAATACAGCGCGCTTGTGTTTGTCTGTGAAGGAGTGTGGGCCGGCTCCGTTGATGAAACGTGGCTCCCAACCACATGCATCCTGGTCTAATTCCTTCGGGTTTACACTGGACATGGGGTGTTTGGATGGAGCTGTGGGTGTTGCAGCGCATGCCACCCATGGTCTCTCTGGAGGCGCAGACGTCCTGTGTCTTGCCACAGTAACAGGCAAATCCGAAATCGGACGCCACCAACCAGTTGTTTACGAGAGAAACAAAGAGTATGAAGGAAGTACTATATGGCCGCACATGCACAGTGAGAGATAGTAATGGAAAGTAGACAACGAATGCAGTAATGGATTCATTTTGAAGTGATCAGCTATGCGGCAATTAATTAGACAGAATAGGTTAGCAAGCTGGTCTACACACAGCGAATGGTCAAGTGAAGTCAAGAAAGTGTATTAAGCACCCAGAACGAGTGGATATTCAGTAGTATGCTGAATGCCGCACAATAAAAACATGGCCCCGGTAAATAATCTGTCGTCATGAGTACGGCGAATAACCATAAATAACAACATGTATCACGTGCAGTCAACCGAATCCCAAATTCACATCAAGAATGGACGTGAGATGAATACCTAGTTCGTTGCTTGCCATTAGTTGCCGTCTGAAATCCCAACTAGGCCAGGTTAGATTCACTGGCGATGCAAGCCTTTCATGTACGCGGTCTACCCAAGTTGTGTGAAGTAAGCAACAAATTCCGCGTAGGGAAGTTCGATCCCTCACGGAAACAATTTATTCAGTATAGGTGAGTTGGTAAAAATGGCGAGCAGTCCTTGATAATTTTTGACTTACGTAGCGCTGCACTCAAAACTACAGGCGTTGTGATGCAGCGTCCAAAACTAACGCCTTTCCTCCCATAGTCTTTAGCAGGATAAAAGTAATTGGGGAGCTCAAGTTGAAGTCACTGAAAGTACGCAGCAGTCAGCATAGCCGCGAATGTAAAACTGTCCAAAAAGGTTAAAAAATTGTCCTCGCCGGGTGATCTATAAGATTAGGTTGGTATTCGAGCAGCTACGTGGTTTGTGTTTCTGGAAAAGCTTACATATGTTGATTGGCTACTCCGATTTCTGGTGTCTCTTCAGCAGAATCTTTTGAAGCATCCAGTATGTTTGGTCCCCGAGTTATCTTCAATACCAGGTCCACAGTGTTTCATTGCAACATACAGCTGGACGCCTGGTTGCTATTTTGCTCCGCTTCTCCAGTAATGTTTCCAATGTATCACATCTCAGCTGCGGTGCTTTTCTTTTAGTTTAAGGTCACTGGTCAATTCTTAAATCCTTTCATCACAACAACTCCTATTTTCCAGTGGACACCGAGTTTTGGCTCAACCCATACTCCATGCGGAACGTCAGTTCCGGTAGGGTTGGCATTCCACTACCTTTGTATGGTTTCTAGTTTATCATCTGTTTCCGCAAACACAACTGTGGATGTTCATGTGTCGATGAAATGAGGCGCAAATGTGAGGTTTATTCATGTGACCTGGCCTTTGTTAGTGGATTGTTCAAACACTGTGTGCAGCTAAGAACGTAGTTCGATGTTGAAAAGTTGCATGTGCATATGAAGCGCAAGTTCATCCGAGCCGCCCCAGTATTTGAAGAGCGCTTCTGACTTGCTTAACTGCAATTTCGGCCTTTCATTATAACTTACTATGATACGCGCTGGTATGATGGTGTATATAGTGAAGAATGTTGGAGAGGACTGGAATCTAGTGGTTGCAAACTGAGAGCTATTGTGTGAGACACGCTACTCTCACGTTGCTTGCCAGTCGAAGAGGCGTTAAGTCAATTGGATTTAGGTTATAAAAACTGCTATGGGTTGAGCACCGGATGGAGCTGAACCCAGCTGTTGTGGTTCGCAGCCCTAAGATGGTAATAAACAAAGGTAGTGGATAAAGTGGGATAGGGCGTAATAGAATACAGAGAAAGCGGATAAGGTTAATTGAGCTGAGAAATAGGTAGTTTTCTGAAAGATATAATACATAAGCGCCATTGAGCTAGCAGCTGCACCAGGTTGGAAGTGTCCAATCAAGACAGTGACTAGCACCAAGGTTCTCATCCACGAAGACAGCAAGATCTACTTGACTAAACCTCTCAATGCATTGTTACCTGCTTTTCTGTCATCAAACGCTCTGATTGGTATTTCGATCGACTAAAAGAAAAGACAGTACCTAATAAACGCCGAGAAAGGTCGTGAAGGGTTCATCATGATAATGCTTATCATCATGCTCATCATGATCGCGATCATCATCATCGTCACCATCATCATCACCACCATCATCATCATCCTCATCATTACACACTAGCCGAGGGTGAGAAACATAGCTCAGCTAATGTGCCGCAATACAAAAGGATAAGAGACCAAACATTAAAGACTACAAAGGCTAAACGAATAAGCTAATACAGTCAAACTTGTCTAAGGCAGCCAATGAAGTGGCCGACAAAAAGTGATCGCCTTGGACAGATTCATAGGAGACGTTTTCGGCTGTTCGCCATAGCAGGTTGGACCGTGCTAAATATTATATTAGGCATTGGGTTCGAGATCGTTGTTGGAGAGGGAAGCTAAAGTGAAGGAAAGGGACAAAGAGACCCTAACACAAACGTCATTGAGGTCAGCTCTTCGTCATGTCAACTAGTGTATCTAACCAAACGTGTTCATCGTCTTCCGGACCCCATCCAGGCAGTCGGCAGACACCAACGACGCCAACTTCTAGGTGAGGG